CTGTGTGGATGTGTGTTAAGTCTTAGAGGAAAAAACCCCAAAATATGTTTTATGATGTTCCCTAAATGAACTGTTGTTACATGATGCTACTAAGTGACTGACATTTAAGGTTTTTTTTTTTTTTTTCATTTAAAAAAGTTCCTCTAGGGGCTGGGGATTTAGCTCAGTGGCACAGCGCCTGCCTGGCAAGCGCAAGGTCATGAGTTCCATTCCTGGTACCGGAAAAAAAAACAAAACAAAACAAACAACCCCCCCCAAAAAAGTTCCTCTGTATCCTAAAATTAACTGACTTTGAATCAAGTCTAGTATTAAATCTGGAAAGATTTCATCTCATACCTTCATTTCTTACAAATATTCATTAACAAAATTTTACCTGATGAAACTATATTCCTTATTAAGCCCAAAACAGTCGTGAACAGAATTATTTCCTCACTATCAAATATTTTAATAAAATAAAAATCTAATCTATGAAGTAAGGCAACAACTCTGAGGAAAATGGGGCAAGTTACAAACAGCATAATTTTATTACTTCACAAATTTGACTTCCGTGGAATAAAGAACTTAATAACATTAATAATGAGGCAAATACTGTATCTTATTAAATATCCCTAGATATGTCCTTTGATTCAAGTTTATTTTTTGGATTTCATGACAAATGTTATAGCTTCTAGTGTATTCATGTTTTTGTGCATTTTTCAGAATATCTGTAGATGAAGCTATTGGATATGCTGCATTTGCTTGTGCTGACACCCCGCTTGGTGTCATGTGCGAGGGTCGGACAGTAACTGAAATATTTCTGTAGCGCTTCACATCACTTGAGCTGTCGTCCAGATCTGATGTTTGTGTTACGCCCGTGTGTGGGCTCCTCCTCTCACCTTACATTTGCTTTCTTTCTGGAGTAGTATAAATTGAGTAACCCAAAAATCTATTCTTTCTTGAAGCATCGCATAAATGCTTTATGTCACTTGGTTTATTCCTCTCAAGCTTCTTGGTAATTGGTTAATTGGTTCTTAATCTTTTAAAAATATTTCCTGGAAATGTATTTTGTGTTGCTACAAATTACATCATTTATATTATTGAGAAAACTCAGTCCAGGGAAATATTCAGGGGGTGAAATAGTTTCATTCTTCTTGATGCTGACTGGACTTCTGAAATGTTTCAGTTAGAAAGTCGTGAGAGCTTTATACCGCGTTATTCAAACTCTTATCTCTTAAAATACCCAATTTAATTTTCTGAGCTTTAAATTAAAAGGAAGCATTAAATTAATCTTCCCTAATTTAAAAACCAGTTAATAAACTTGGGATATCTTAAATAAAAGTATGCTACCATTCTATGAAAATAAGCAGGAAATAGTCAAAACAAAACCTTTGAAGGGCCTCATGGAATAAAAATTGGAATAAAAAGGTGGAAGACTGGATAATATGATTTGCCTTTTTTATTTGCAAAACATTTGACATATTTTAAACTTTAAACCCTTAAGAAATTAATGCTGCAACATACAAATGTGAGAGCCTTTTATGTGACTTATTACAATGCGCATTAGCCTGCCAGCAAACTCTTAAAACTCCTGGACACTGGCTCTGTTCTCTTCTGGCTTCTCTCCTAGTCATGTCTTGGCCGCCATCCAGAGCTGACAACTCTCACCCAGGAGCGGAGGGAGATTTGTCTGGTGTAAGAAGGATTTTTGAGTCATCCTTGATTTTCACACCCAGATGGGCGAGGAGGAGGGTGGCAGTATCACTGTACGCACTTGGGTGATGTCATGGAGGCACACATGCACTAGAACATTAATTTACTCATCCTGGTGTGTTCTGAACGTCCTCAGACGCTCTTAATGAGAGATTGTGATAGAACGACTTCAAAATTCACAAAAATTACGTTCACATTTACATTTGAGCAATTGATGCACAAATACATTTAATTCTCCATTTCCAACTGTATACCAAGGACCCGAAGGGTTGGACCTCTTTGTTATGCATATAAAAACTCTCAGAATCTGTCAGGGTGAAAATGTAGAAGTTACACTTCCGAGCCTTTCACTCCAGTCATTATGCTAAAGCTCTCTGCACACTGCTGGTGATATTAGGACAATTTGTTATCCACAGTGTTTTCCTGCTAAAGTGAATTGTGATTATTATGCTTTTAAGGGTTTCCTGAAGCTGTTAATTTTAGATTCTCTTAGGTAAATTGACTCTCACTTATCTAAAGAACCGTTTAGTATTAATATTATGATTTGAAAGACTTTCTGACAAGAGTGATTTTAAGGTGGGATTACATCAACAGATTGTATCCCTTATTAATCTTGGACATACAGAAGTAGTCTGTAACATGTTCACCATTAAGAAGATGTACTCTCATGTGCCCAAATACATTCTATGCTTCTATAAATAACTACAAAACTGAAAGCTATTACTCTAACATAATTTGCATTGCATTTTATTCTGTAGATTTTTTTCAGATATCTGTACAATTTTCACAGTTAATTTGTTTTGTGATATTATATAAACTATTTTACAGAATAGCTGTGCAGAAAGCAGTAAGGTCATTGTTAAATGTAACTCACAGTGTAGTATTTTACAGTGACATATTAGTATGATGAAACATTTATCCTTGCTCTAAATCTTCATGAAAGCTTTAAAGACAGTTTATAAGTAATAGCTATGATATAAACCTATAAACTTAGAAATATAATAAATATATGGAGTTTCTTAAAAATCTTGAAATAAGGCTGTGCACACCTTTTATATTTGAAATTAATTACTTTTCCTCTTTAAAATACTCCCCAAAGTGCCTTAAAAAGACCTATAAGGTTGATAAATTGGCTTCCTAGTTAATTTTAATTATTAATTACTAGTTTATTAACGGTTCATTATTAAGGTTAAATGAAGAAAATAAATGTCAAGTTAACCATTTAAATACATAGCATCTTGCTTACATATTAGTAGAATGGAAATCAGTCTCCTTACAATTCCTGTTACCCCTTCCAATTTCTGTTACTCATATAAGTGAGAAGTGCTAGTCTGTATCACTGAGCTCTTGAATAGTTGACTTTAACACAAAATGCCCTTTACCCGTTTAGATTCAGACATTTAGATACAGAGTCTTAGTCCAGTCTGTATAAATAAAAGTAAATCTGACCTTTTGATTAAGAAATACTGTCAGTAGCCTTTGTAAGTGCTTGTTCATCTGAGGGTCCATGACAGGAGAGCTCTTCCCACTTGAGTTTAAACTAAAAATGAAATGATAGGAGCCTGCTGGTTATGATCCAAGATTCTTCTCCATGGGGGGACCACATGGTTTTTCTCCATCTCCCACTTGTTCTCACCCTCTCTTCCCAACCCAGCCACACCCCACCCCCACCCCAACATTGTTCAGTCCCAGCACAATGAATCATTTTCAAGTTGACTCTTTGTGAACTGTCTCCCAGCTGTTGGAATGTCTGGCAGACATTTTTGTTTGGGTGAAGAATAACTGGCTGAAGCCCAACCTGGATGAGTTTGATGTAATGGTCTCTGGCTAAAGAAATATTGAGAGGAACATGTTTATGGCCTCCGAGCCCCTGTTATTCCTGGAGTAGGACCATCCCCTGTGGCACAGAACTGAAAGGAATCAATCTGGATTATTTTCTCACCGTTGAATGAAAAATTGCCTACGGAAAAAAACAGGCATTTCCAAGTGAAGTTTGTTTTCTACGCTTGGTGTGCCCACCTGATTGAAAGTATTAAAGACAATTAAGGGAAATTATTTTTGCCGACCCTTTTCGGGGCACTGGTTCAAAGGCTGAAGCCATGTCTATAGCACGCGCCCCTCCATGTGGACGGCTCGCAGTTCTGCCGCAGGTGTGCGCTAACCCGTCGCCGCAGGGAAGGTTCGGTAGGCCAGGCTGTGCACTTCTGACCTGACCTCCGTCCTCAGCAAGGGGCGTAGGGAGCGGAGGACCGGCAAGCTCCGGAGCGAGTCGTGCTCTCACAACAGGAGCACCCTTCGTGCTCCGCCACCTCCTCGCGGCCAGGAGAGAGAGCCTCAAAACGGTGCATTTTCCTGTCGTACGTTTCCCACCCTTTGCTTTGAAGATTACTCTTAAACTGGTGGGCATTGCCGATGTATAAAAAGGGATCTTCATAATTACAATATTTTACAAACTCTAGATCTTTAGAATAAATGTTTTCTGTGGTATTATCGCACATAATCACAGTTTTCAGAACCACTGCCCTGCCAGGGTTCAAAGGGAATGCTAGAATGCCATTAAATAATTCCCAAAGCCAGCAGACTAGCTGATGATTTCATGCTTATAGCCAAGAATATCTGCGTATTTTAGAACTCGAATTATTCAATGACGAGCATACTGTTTTTGGAGACTGCTCCAGCATTCGATGGAGTCTGGACTCACCTGCCTGTGTTGGGAAGGGGCAGGCTGCCGGTGTGTCACTCCTGGCTTTCCTTTACTGTGAGCGCAGGGCGCGTGGCTGTGTCTGGAAGGAAAGCAGAAGACTTGAGCGCAGGCCGTGTGGCAACCCTTCACGGGACCCTCCCCTGCCTCTAGCATGTCACAGCGGCCCTCAGCCGTTACTGGGCTGGGACCGGGTCCCCAGTGACAGACGAGCAAGAGGCCCTTGCCTTACACTTCACACTGTGCTGTCTACTGCTTTGAATCCTGTCGTCTGCAAGATTTTCCCGTGGGTGATAGTGGAAGTAATTTGAAAAATGATAGAGTGTGAGAGTAGTAGTAGCCTTCCCCTGAGGACAGATGAAAAAATTCTGTCTTCTTCCAGTGTCTGTTCTCTCCTAATTTCTTTGATTAGAGTAGCACACCTAGTGGATTGGAATTTTTGGTTAAGAGCATATTTTGTCCGGTTTCAACCCATAGCAGCTTTAATTTTTCTAAGTTATTTTTCTGTCCTGATAATCTGTCCCCACTGTAATTTGTCATCAAGATGTCATAGTGGCGCTGTATAGATGTCCCATTTTAAAAGGAAGTGTTTCATTCCTGTGTTTTGCAGAATAAAGCGATTACTGCTCGTGTTACAAGCTTGTCAGATACAGTAGTGGGCCTGGAATCATTTGTTGGTTCGGAGAGAGAAACCAACCCTCTCTATAAGGATTATCACGGTAAGCAGCACCTTGGACATGAGGCTGGGCCTGGCTGCTTGGAGTCCTCCTGTCCAGTCAGCACCTGTGTTAGGTAGCACGAACTCGACCTCCTAGGAGGCCTGTGTGGCGTGCTCCATCCCTAGCCAGTCTTCTGGGCTGCACATCCTCAGGCTGTGATAGCAGAAAGGAGTCAACCCCCAGGTCTAAGGCATGGCTCAGATCCACGTTGGTTGTCCTGGTCGCTGAAAGTTGCCACGCACTCAGTCATACTTTTCAAGCTTTGCTGGAGACAGACATGATGTTAAATCTAACAGTGCACACAGAACATCCCTAATCCAGAAATCCAAACTCGGAGGTGCTTCAAATTCAGGAACCCTTGGGTCTGAGACACACCCACCCCGACAGCTGTGGCTCTGCAGGGCTCAAGCAGGGGCTCCAGTGCCTGCCGCGTCGCCCCTGGGGCAACACGGAGCTCCTCAGGCACTGGGCTCACATGTCCTAAGCTTTGGGGCTCCTGTCTGGTTTTTGCTGCTGGAGACTAAGTTGGGCCTTGTGCGTGCTGCTGTGTGCCCTACCATCAAGCTGCAGCCCCCACCCCTTTTTTTTTTTAAGCTTTTAGTGTTACTTTAGTCATCTGGTTAGTTGGAGGGGTTTTTTTAATGACAATTTTTACACAGATGCATTTGAATTTTAAAAGTGTAGTGGTTATATATGTGCTTGGTCTAAACTTCGTATAGAATATAGTGAATAACAGGTCTTTACCTATTTATGTATCCTAAATAAAACGTTATTGCTGTTACTGTTGTACAATTACTGTACTTCCATAGAGACTTGCAAAGGCTCAGTAGCTTCTTTGAATTCTGCTACTAGGATTTTGTGAGTCTGTAGAAATCATTTTATTGGCTCACATATTAAAATATACACAAAAATTATTGAAAAGGATACTTACTTGACCAGTGCTTTGAATTTTTAAAATATAATAACAGTCAATACTGTTTTTTAAGGCTGGACCCTATAAGCTGTGAACAAAAGCTCTGAACAATAACGTGCCTCTTGATTATTCCCTAAGTGTGCGTGTGGCCTGCACCTACGTTAACCCCATACAGGGGTCATTCACTGTGTCATTTTTTTGATTAGAAGAGATCTATTAAGATTTGAATATTTTTAAATTTGTTCATGTTCTTTTAATGCAATCCAAGTTGATAAATTAGATTATCTACTATAATAAATTATATATTATTTATAGTATTATAATAAGTTATATTGTCATCTATAAGTACTATAATGATTAGCTTATAAGTAAAACTATATTATATTCTGAAAAATATTATTTTAATCAGACCACTTCAAAGGTGGAGTGGCTGTGAATCTTTGTACTGAAGTCTCTGAGCTGATAAATTATTCCCCAGAGTCATGAGTAGTTTTGATAACTAGTAAACTTTCTGTTAATAAGAAGGCCTTGGAGTGGAATAATTAATTCATTCTGTAAGGCCTTCTGGCTTCATAGCTAAACAAGCACCTGTAAGGTTAAAGTGAAAAATGTGTGAGTGTATGACGTGCTTATTTCTAATAAGTGTATTTACCAAATTGCTATATATAGGGTATTTTTAATTTATAGCTAGAAATGATTTTTCAAGAGCACCATTTACATTTTTTTAAGTTGGAAAAATTCGTTGAGGTATTTTAGTGGTTTCTTTTTGCAGGGATTGTTTTCAAAGTGAGGCGTCTGGAAATGCACCCATTTAACTTGAAGCAAACCCCTGTGTGGTTAAGTTTGCGGTACACACACGGCAGCGCAGAGGGCCCACTGACCCGCAGGGTGCTCCTGCTGCTGGTGCTGGTCAGCTCGTCCTGGAGCGGTGGCGTCCACACAGGAGTCAGTCGCCTCCGGCAGGGAGGCGCACACAGGCCTGGCATGTCCGAGTCTGTGGGAAATGACCCTCATTCCGTCAGAAGCGACATTGGGCTGCACAAAGCCACCCAGTGCCCTTGTCAGAAGGAATTAGCAGGCATTGCCCCTGATAAGAGACCAGGCTCATGGTTTGTCTAGTGTGGTCGCAAAGCCCGTGGGCCCCGTGAAGGTTGATGCACCCGGCCGTGGAAGTGAGTGTCTCACAGCCTGGGGTTCGCGCTGCGTTCAGTGTGCTCTGAGATGCAGCCTTCCTCCACGGTGTGCCCGCATCCTTAGTAAGGCATGAAATGCAGTACTTTCTAGTAGAGCTTCGCTGCTGATCAGTAACCCATAAGCCTTGTTTTGCTGGCTGCTTACTGGTGCATTTAATAAAATAAAGATCGCTCAGTGGTGCCGTGGGCAGCGTGCAAGGTGATAGCCATATTTGCTTACTGTAAATACAAGGGAAAATCACACACAAACCAGCTGTAGTTTTGACAAGAACTAAGATCCCTCTTTACATCTGTACTTGTGTACTGAAGTGCAATTAGTTTTCCTCGCACAAGGATTTCTGTTTATCTTATTCTGCCTGATTACTTGAGTATAATCACACCATTTGCTTCACCGCTCCTGGTAGTAAGCCCTGGTTTTAAAGGGAGATGCCTGCGTGTAAATTTACAGGATTCTACTGTAAGACTTTAATTTATGCATCTGGTGACAGCATTTAAAATTCTTTTTTCTTTTAATTTTCTCTCTGCAAGGTTTGATTCATATTCGGCAGATTCCTCGGCTTAATAACTTGATTTGCGATGAATCAGATGTCAAAGACTTAGCTTTTAAGTTAAAAAGGAAGCTATTCACCATCGAGGTAAGGGAATTTTTATGCTTTAGTTTACAGTCTTGAGGTAAGTGCTTTTTACTCCTTTTCTTTCACTTTTCCTTTAATGAAATTCTTATGATGCTTCATGCTAAATATTAAGTCCTCTTGATGTAACACACAGAATACTTTCTTACTATCCTTTTCTTACGTTAGTGGTTTGTCATTCGAGTAGAACAAAAATAATTTTATTCTAAATGCCTGTTAAAAGTAAGCTCCAAACTTACATGATAAATGTGACGTGCATATTCTCAAGACTTTCAAAAGCATATTTAATTAAATGTTAATGAGCTGCGCTTACTTGTGTGTGAATGTGAATGCTACCCATGATTGTGTGTGGCTAAGAAAAAGAGCTTCTGATCCACATCCTGAAAGTATTCTTCTTTCCTACTAGTGAAATTCCCTTCCCCTTTACCGTGCTAAATTAAACAAAGTATAATTTACACTAGCGGCTTTACGTAAATTTTCTACAATACTGAAACTTTTTTTGTGACTTTTATGCAAGCAGTGATGACAGAAAGTAGCAGTACAAAAGATTTATTTCAGCTTAATCTTGCTAAAGAGCAAATGAACATAGAACTATTAAGCAATTAGAGTTGATGTATTTATTAACGAAGTAAATGTTCAGAAAGAGATGGCTTTTGGCTGATGTGATAGTTATCAGTATAGTCGGCGCATTTTTTTTTTTTTAACAAAGACATAAAACAGCCAAGCAGCCTTGACAAACCATTTTGTTTAATCTCTTTTCAAATGAAAAGCTCTTAAGCAGGCCACTTGTCTTAACTGCTTGAAACCATAAAAAGAGAGAATTGCCACCAATAAATTAGCATATTTCTAACTTCATCACCAAATGATGGTCAATGTGGCTTGGCATTGCTTTGGTGTTCGGGACTTCACCCTTAAGTGACCACTCTGGCCCTTTCTTGACCCTCTGCCCTCTTTAAGCTGGCCACTTGATAAGGTAACTTAATGGTTCTCTCTCTTTTTCTCTTTCCCTTCACGTTTGCAAGTAGCACTAACCTGTAAATCATTGTAAGGGCCCTATCCGGTGACAAATTAATGTGCCCTCCTCCTAATTAATGGTCATCAATGCCCTTAATTATCTGATCCTATTGAGAGCAGTTAATAGTTAATCAGGCAGCCAGTTCTTCAAGCAGGCCGTCTCCGCAGGAGTGTCAGAGTTTCTCATCTGGGGATACTCCCTCCAAAAGCCACTTAAGGCCGGAAGAGCCAGAGTGGAGAAATAGTGATTCTTGCGCTAATTTGCTTTAGTTCTCAAAAGAAGCCATTGAAACAGAACTCAACACTGTAATGGTTTCAACAGTGTTTCAGCTCTTCTGACAGAACACTGAGTGATTTACCATAATATTGTTTAAAACTTTTAGAAGGATACAGTTGTAGTTTACCACCACAAGGAAAGCATTGTCATTTCCTCTTAAACTGAATTTGTAGTTCAAATGCAAGATGTAAGTTCTTTTCCTCCATGAGGCACCCTTTACCCAAAATCAGGATTCTGATGACCAAGTCTGTCTAAGGTACCATTTCTGTTGTCATACAAAGCAAGGTGGTCCCCCAGTGGGAAAAAAGGTATTGTGCCCAAAGAAGAGAATAGTACAATAGTCTGAACCGTGTTTATGGCCCTCTTTCTCTCTCATCGGGTCCCACTGGAGTTGGGCTGGGGGAGGTGCAGGGGGCTGAAGCGACTTTGCAGTGTCAGCTGAGGCCTCTCCTGGTAGACGCTGGAGGTTCCAATAGGGGCTGCACGGTACCATCGGTGCTGTCGAGAGACCCTTTACTCGCCACCCGGGCTTCTCTTCTTCCCACTGTGCTAAACCATGGGAACCAGTGCCCTCGGTCACCTTGTGGTTTGAAAGCAGTATTTGAAAACAAAATAGAAATAAACATTTGTTTTTTAAGAAGCTAATATTCAACAGTTGATCAAATCCTTTGTTTTTTTGCCTTATAACCTACCCAACAAAGATTTAATTTTTTTAAAGTAGAAATACAGGTACAACCCATTCTAAAACATACTTTCTTATGCTGTAATGTTAAATTTGGTGATTAGAAAAATACAAATTAAGGAATCAAACAAATGTACTATCTAGTAACAGCTGTATGTACTACACAAGTGCCTAGGGCTACATGTAGTTACTATTAGAACAGAAGACAGTCATCTGGTCACCTAAGATGAAATATTTTCTGTATAACACTGTTTCTTATAAAATGCATACCCAAAGAGAAAGCAAGTCTTTGGTGATGTAAACCTGAAGCCAGAGGAGAAATGACATGAAAGTAATTAGTTCCATGAGTCCTTTGCTGGAGGGAATTGCCCACCAGGTAACAGTATTTCAGTACACACAATGAGTAAGTTTTCGGTGGGCTGATACTTTTTGAATAAAAGGTATACTCTGTTCTGTGAAATTGGAGACGAGCATACTAGGAGTAGTCCGAAGCACCTCTCTGAAGCACGGTGGTTTTGCAAGTGGAGCAGAAGCGTTCTGATTCGTGCCGGCAGATGTGCCACATGTTGGACAGCATTCCCAAGCCCATGGGCCACGTCTGAGCTGCAGTAACCACTTCAAACGTGCACTGCTTTACTTCCTGTGATTTTTGCGTCTTTAATGCTGGAATTCTCACTATAGTTCTTTTCCTTACATTATAATTTTGATGAAATTATTATACATAAACAAGTAGGATTTGGGAGGGTTTGGCTGCATTTAATTTGGTGACATAAAAACAGCATTTTCACTAGCGTTTAATATTAGCAACATCTATCAGTTATTGCAAAGAGCGTTTCCATGTTTTATGCAATAGTTTTTCAGCCCCAAGACTCAGTGTTTCACAGCAAATCAGAGTATGGTAACGGGTTATCCTCAAAGTACAAAAATGCACTGTTAACGATAAACTTTCCGTACAAGGGTACACAGTAATTACACAGGCTATCATTGGTCCAAAAGTGATGGTTATCCTCAGTAGTGTATCTGTGCGCCTTGGAGGCTCAGTGAATCTTGAGAATAGAGAATTTCAAAGGAAATCAAGTTTATTCATCACACCTAACTCAGAATATAGGGCCCAGTGTCCAGTCACCAAGAAGTTTTTCTCACAAAATAATTGGCTAACCGGTTCTTATTAACTAGTTATTTTTGGTGCACTAATTCATTCTTAAAGTACTAAGACCAGAATCATAGGTGCCATGTGTATAAATTAGCTTTGTAAAACAGTACTCTACTTTAACTTCATGCGATTCCATAGAATTATTTGAAACTTTTATATTTTGTAAATCTTTGCTAACTGGTAGTCACCATGATAATATTTAACAATTTGGGTTGTTGCATAATACATCTAGTCTTATTTTCTTCCTTCTATACATTTATTTTCAACAGCCTTTCCAGTTTTTAAATGAGAAGTACCAGGGTGAATATATGTTCATTGTATGTGGAGATGAGGAGAAGGGGGAATTAACTTGCTTTTCAGTTCAGTTATGTCATCAGAATAAAATAATGGAAGTATCTGCTGGGAAGCCTTAAGTTCTAGCAGCATGGACCACGTCATCTGATGAGGATGCCCTCTATAGATACTGGTTGCTGTTTAAATTAGAGTTTTATTCTTAGATATACTAGTTATTGAATAAAGAAAGAAAGTTGAGCAAAGGTACTTATTCCTATGGGTGAAATCATTTATAATCAAAGGTAAAACCCAGAGTAACTTTGAGGGTGAAATAGAAATTTCTGTACGTGTGCATTTTAGTACGTGACTGCATACGGTAACTCAGGTGATACAGACGTACAGTAGTGCTGTGTACACGTTACAGGTCTGCAGAAGTTGGCTTTGTCCTTACTGTCTGTGTTTCACACACCGTCGTGAACCTATCAGACGTGCATACCACCTTAACAGGAGCAGTTCTGAGACCGTCTAATCCTATTTCTTCCCACTTTGGAATCTTAATTGGAAGAGATAAGGGAAAGAAAAAACATCATTTAACTAAATTATTGTCTTGCATCTGTAGCGAGGTATAATCCGCAATTGGGCCAATTAGTGGAGGCCGCAGTTAGCTCTCGGCAGCAGCGGTTTGATGAGGTCTGACACCGCCCGGTTCCCACTGCTGTGCTGCCAGGTAAGAGGCGGACTTCAAAGGCTGGAGGCATCAGCAGGGCAGGGTTTGCAGGCCAGCTTAGGTCCGGCGGCTAATCTCCCTGTAAAACCACAGCAGCTCTCACACAAAACCAGCTTACACGACACAATCATGCGGTATTAAAGGTAGAGTTGAGTCATGCCAATTTGCCTTTGATTTTTTGATGATTGACCAAAGATGGCTCCTTGACTAGACACATGCTGAAAGTGTACTGATTAGGTAATTTCCCAAAATATTTGGAATATTTTCTGACTTCCTAAATAAATGTTGTGAAAGCTTATTCCTTTGTGCTCCGTCTCCCAGAGGAATAGTAGTATTCCGGGAAATCGCACGCGTTTCTCACAGGCTTCCTGGCTGCCAAAGTTTTCACGTAGTGCTTCTGCTCCTGGGCCTTTGCATTAGTAGTTCCCTAAGAGGATGGCGAAGGAAATCGTGGCTAAGTGCAAACCTGTTTAAAAGTCTGTTAAGTGCGCTGAGAGCAGCGCTTTCTCTGAGTCACTTATGTTCACCGACAGTTTTCTCAAGCGTCTTTGTAATTGTGCTCTTACCGTTGAGTGGAGCGCCCTTGCGGGGTGCGAGTGCCCACGTGTGCCGTGGGGATCCCAGCGGCCGGCTGGTCCCAGGCGGACAGGCTCTGCGCCGTGTCCCCGCACCGGCCTCCTCCGCTGGCGGGGGGCGGCCCGCGTGCCCGCCGGGGGCCCTTAAGTGTGGGGCCATCGACACCCAGCAGGGTGCCCCTCTACCGAGTTACTCACGGGAACCCCGTTTCTCTGGGAGATGCGGGTCGCACCCAGCACCCTCTGCGCAGCGCTGCTGCAGAGCTTCGCGTGTGCGGCGAGCCTGGCCCTCGCGGGGCTCG